GGGGGGGCCGGGGCGGGGGGACCTCCCTCCAGCCGCTCCTCTGCCTGCACAGAGTGTAAGCCAGCGTTTCAAAGGCCCCGTGAGCCCTGGGTGGTTGCTCAGTGGTTAGAGCACCAGCCTGAGGACTGAAGGGTCATGGGTTCAATTCCAGTCAAGGGCACGTCCCTCAGTTGCAGGCTCGATCCCCAGCCCCAGCCGGGGCACATGTGGGAGGCAACCAATCGATGTGTCTCTCTCACGTCGATGGCTTTCTCTCTCTGCCTCTCCCCCTCCCTCCCACCCTAAGAATCAATGGAAAAATATCCTCGGGTGAGGATTAACCCAAAAAAATGTTCTTAAAAGGCACCAGTGAAGGGGGCACCGGGGGGAGGGGTGTCCACGCTGTGACCTTGACCCTGACCCCTTCCTCCATTCAGCCTCCTCACCTCACAGCCTCAAAGAGCCGCATCGAGGCCCCTCCCCCGCCCACAGGTTTGCCCCTTTCCCTCCTTACCTTGACCAGCTCCTTGAATTTGGGGTCCTCCTTGGAGGTGGGGTCGATCATGGTGCGCTCCTCATTCTCCTCTGCCAGGGACACAGGGGGAAGGTCAGGGGCAGGGGCAGGGGCAGCTGACTTCCTGGCACAGACTGGGGAGACGGCTGAGCGTAGAGAGCCCCTGCTCTCAGTGAGCACGTGCCACACTGTCGCACAGCAGGTGCCAGTCGGGGCGGGTGGCCGGCCGCAGGACTGCCTCCGGGAGGTGGGGAGTCCTCCAGCCTCGCCTCCCCCCCATCCCGCGGCCTCGCCCCTCACTGCCTCCCTTTCAGGAGAGACCCTGGCGAGGCAGCCACAGGCCTGCACGGATCCGTGGGAAAAGCCGATCTAGCAAAGTGACCCATGCCCTGGGCAGGCTCACCACGACGCAGGACGGCACGGAGCAAAAGGCATCAGAAAGAAAAAGCAAAAGGAGAAGGAAAAGGAGGGTGCTTCGTGCAAAACGTGCTCATCCTTCTTCTGTTTATTTCCCCACCGTGTGCTTTTCCCTCCGTGTTCCGGCCTCGCTCCATGGACAACAGGCACCACACGCGGGCCCTGTGATGCCCCTGCTCAGACCCTCACCGCCTCCTTCCCCAGCCCTCCCGCCTCCCTCTCTCCCCAGCAAGCCTCGCGGCCTCGGCCAAGGCCACAGGGCCTGGCACCTGCTCCCCCCGTCTGCCGCCCTCCCCACCCACATGCCCCCAGCCCTCAGAGCTCAGCTCCACCGCTGCCCGAGCTCAGGGGCCTGGAGCCTTGCGAAGTGAACTGGAGAACAGAGCAGCTAGTTCAGTGGTTCTCAACCTTCGGGCCCTTTAAATACAGCTCCTCATGTGGTGACCCAACCATAAAATTATTTTCGTTGCTACTTCATCACTGTCATGTTGCTACTGTGATGAATCGTCATGTAAATATCTGATATGCAGGATGGTCTTAGGCGACCCCTGTGAAAGGGTCGTTCGACCGCCAAAGGGGTCACGACCCACAGGTTGAGAACCACTGATATGTAGAGAGCTGGCGAGAGGCCCGGCCGGCGTGGCTCAGGGGTTGAGAATCGTTTCGTTGCTACTTCATCACTGTCATGTTGCTACTGTGATGAATCGTCATGTAAATATCTGATATGCAGGATGGTCTTAGGCGACCCCTGTGAAAGGGTCGTTCGACCGCCAAAGGGGTCACGACCCACAGGTTGAGAACCACTGATATGTAGAGAGCTGGCGAGAGGCCCGGCCGGCGTGGCTCAGGGGTTGAGAATCGACCTGTGAACCAGGAGGTCTCACTTCGATTCCTGGTCAGGGCACAGGGCCCGGTTGTGGGCTCGATGCCCAGGGGGGGGGGTGCAGGAGGCA